CCCCGCCACTCCGCACCCAGGCAGGTAGAGACGCGAAGAGGGGCGGAGGGGGGAGGGGGGGGGACACAATCCCGGCCCCGGGGGTCGCAGGTCGGTGCCCGCTTGTCCCCGGTCTTGTCCCCGGTCTTGTCCCGGTTCCCGAGCTCCCGGCTCCGATCCTGTCCCCCCCCCCCCCCCCTCCCCCCCCCCCCCCCACTGACTGCCGCCTGCGGGCGGGGGCGCGGCGGCCGGCCCGGGGCTGGCCAATGGCAGCCTCCGACACGTAGGCCTGGCCCGCGCGGGCTGGCGGCGTCCCCCAACCCAGGCGGGTCCGTTCCCGGTCCCCCCGCTCCCGCCCCGTCTCGTTCCGCTGCCACCGGGCACTACCGGCGGCGAGGGACTCACCTTCCAAATTTGGGGCTGCTCTTGGCGGCCGTGGCCTGGGAAAAACGAGTGTTTGACGGGCACCGGTGGTACCTCTCGGGGAGATTTTATATCGCTGGTTTTTTTTTTTTTCCCTCTTTGCTTTTTTTTTTCCCCTTTTTGCTTTTTTTCCCCTTCTTTGCTTCTTTTTTTTTCCTCTTAGCTTTTTTTTCTCTTTGCTTTTTTTTCTCTTTGCTTTTTTCCCCCTCTTTGCTTTTTTTTCCTCTTTGCCTTTTTTTCCCCTTTACTTTTTTTTTCTCTTTGCTTTTTTTTTCTCTTTGCCTTTTTTCCCCTTTACTTTTTTTTTGTGGGTAATTTCCCCTTTTAGTTCTTACTGTGTCATTATAATTAGCAAAGCCCAAGGGTTCAAATCTAAGCTAACAAAGGGCAGCGACATGATAGTTTGTGTGTTGTTACTGCTGCTTATTACTTTTTTTTTTTTTTCTTTTTTCCCCCCCTCCCTGCAAACCCTAAAATAAAGAATGCGAAGCCTTTCCCGGGGCTGATTGGGGGGAAAACGCTGTGAAAGGGCCGCGGTTATAAAGCGCTGCTTGAAGCGGGCTCTCAATGCGCCTCTGAACTTGATCAGATTTTACGTTTCCTGCAGAGAGCCGGCGGCGAGGCTGAGACCTGCCCAATAGCCAGACTTGGGGGCTCAGCAAATCTCAGGATATTACAATTACAGCCATCTTTCTTTCTGCCTTTTATTTCCACTCTTGCTCCCCATAGTTCTTTGCAAATGCTTTCCAGAAGAGAAAATGAGTGGATTTATAGCGCTGTCTGCAACTGATAATTATTCCAAGGCAGAACGTTGCCTTCTTTGCAAAATAAAATTAAAAAGGAGGAAAAGAAAAAAAAAAAAAAAAAAAAAATCCTCTCTGCCTTTACTTTTCCAGCCTCTCCACAACTTTCTGGCAGCAGCGAGGGCGCTGCAGCAGGGCCAGGCAGGCTCCCCCCCACCTCGCTCCCCCCCCGCC